TCTCTGTCTCTCTCTGGTGAGCACATATGCCCTATGGCAAAAACTAAAATAATAATAATAATTAATTAATTATTAATTTCTTTTTTAAAAGTTGGAGCCAGACCTCATATCTCAAAATGGATCATACATTTAAATTTTAATACCTTTTAAACACCAGGAAAAAAAAGAGAATCTTTCAAAATCATATTGGCATGGAAACTATCTTATTAAGTATTACACAAATCCTAGAAGCCATAAAGAAGACTGATAGTCTCACGCCGGGCGCGTGTGGTGGGTGCCCAAGATCCCAAGAGGAGAAGGGATTGCGGCGTGGCCATCCCCCATCTGGGGGGTGATTTCTCGCTTTCTGTCTCTCTGTCTCTCTCTATCTGGCGAGCGCACACGCCCTATAGCAAAAACCTCTCAAAAAAAAAAAAAAAGAGAAGACTGATAGATTCAACTACGGTTAAAAAGAAAATCTAAATGGCAAAACCCCAGCCCTAACCATCATAAAAAATATAAAAAGGAAAAAAAAAAAAAAAAAGACAAATGACAAACTGGAAAAATATTTACCGTTCATATCATAGGGGACTAGATTCCTTAACATATTGAGTTCCTGTACACAATAAGAAAAACAAGGCCAGCCCTGTGGCCTAGAGCTTGAGTGAGCCAGATCCCTCATGGCCTACCTTGGTTCAAAGCAGTTTGAAGTGGTTTCAATCGCAGCTTGAAAAGACCAATAAGAAAAAGATCAGTAAGCCAATTTTTAAAATCAGCAGCGAATTTGCAGAGGCAGTTCCTAGAAACAGACTATTCAAATGTCTCTTTCATATGGGAAAACCCATCAATTTCACTCAGATAAGATAAATGAAAATTAATTCCACATAGATACAGTTTTCTGTGTAGATACCAGTTTGATAACACTTTGGCAAAGGTGCGGTGACACAGGCTTGCTCACACTGTCGCTGGGAGTGTAAACCGGAGCAATTCTTCTCTCAGAATTACAAATCACGTGGCCTTTGACCTTTGATTCCCTTCAAGGAATTTACCCCACAGGTACCTGCACTCGTGCAACACGAGGTCCATGTGAACTATTCTATGCAGCAGTTCTGTCTGCACTAGCAAGACAGGAAACAGCTAAATGTCTGACAAAACCCCGGGGACCAGGGCCCAGCCAGGTGGTACAGTCCACAGCGTCCTGGACTGCAGTGCTGGAAGCCACAAGGCTAACCAATTACAGTTTCAAGTCCCCAGTCACCTTGAAAACACGTCAGGTGTGTGTGTGCAGCCGCCCAAGATCCTGAGAAACTGGAGACCGGGAGAAGGGGATTGTGACGCGATGAGACCCTGTAGAGGGCGCTTTCTCTCATGCATGTACATGAGCTCACTACCATAATTTTTTTTTTATTTAAAAAGAGGGGGACCAGCAGGTAGCATAGTGGTTAAGGTGCTCCCACATGGCCAACCATGGTTTGAGTCCCAGACCTGGTGGCTTTCTCTCTCTCTCTCTTTGTGTGTGTCTCTCTCTGGTCAAATTAAAAAATAAGTGAATGAATAAATAAAATTAAATAATAAATAATTCTTTAAAACATGTAAAAAGAGGAGACTAGGTAAATAAATTCAGTAGAGCCATACAATGAAATACCAAAACTAAATAAGAAGAGGAAGTTCTTTATTTAATGGAAAGGAGTAAACTCTTTTCTAGTCCGCTGGGTGCAGTGGTCGTGTACAAGCCAGGATTCAGACGCACCCACACTCCAGACCCAGCTCGGTCACCCACTAGGTGCATGACCTGGGGCTGGCTTCTCAAGCTCTCAGGTCTCACTTTCCCCCGGGCTACGTTGGAGGACTAATGTAAAAGCTTGTGCACGACTTTCAGAACACGCTTCATCTCTCAAAACCTGTGAGCCAGTGTCATTATTATTCCCATGGCCTTGGTGCCTCTTTCCCCTTTTCTGGGATAGTCCTCAGACTAGAACCTTCTCCCCACCCTCCTGGAATCAGAATAGACTCTTAGATCAACATCCTTTTATGTGTGTGTGTGTGTGTGTGTGTGTGTGTGTGTGTGTATGTTTTTGTTTTTGTTTTTTAGCGAGAGAGATGCATGTGCTTGCTAGAGAAACAGAGAGAGATGGAAAGAGAAATCACCCCCCAGGGGGGATGGCCATGCTACAATCCCTTCTCCTCCATTCTCCTCTTTGGACTTTGGGCATGGACGCACATGCGCCCCTCATGAGTTTAAGCCACCAGGTCCAGGACTCAAACCGTGATCGACTACATGGGAGTCCAGCAACCTGACCACTACGCCATCTGCTGGTCCCTAGACCAACACCCTTTATCAAGTGCCCACTTTTGCTTGTTACAGCCTCGAGAATTAATGTTAGGGCTGACTCCACAATACAGGCAATGCACTGCTCCAGAGAGGCCGGATCACCCAGGGTGACAGTGGTTTGAACCTCCAGCTGAGTCAGTCTGAAACACACTGGGCACACACGCAATTTTCCAGTGTCTGATGGGCTGAAGGACAGGAGGAAAGGAACCGTGGGGTGACTAGGCCCTGTAAAGGGTTTCTCTCTCCCTCTCTCTCATGTGCATATTCATTATTGTCGTGAATAAAGAAAAAAATGAAGAAGTATTCTATTTCCAGGCTTGAATTCACTTGCCCAGAGGTCACCTAGGGACAAACTGGACAGCAGGGAAACAGGCCTGGATTGCCGGCCCCAACGCAGTTTTCTCTCTGCTACACCAGCTGCCTCTCTGAGGCGGGGAAAACTCATCCAGCCACCCATTGATTCATCTTTTTATTTGCCAGAGGGTGTGTGTGCTCCTCAGAGAGAGAGAGAGAGAGAGAAAGCACCCCCTGGTGTGGTGTAATCACGCCACGATCCTTTTCCTTCCATATCTCCATCCAGTCAGGATTTAGGTATGCACACACATGTGCTTGGCATGTTTTTAAAGTCCTGGGGCCAGTCCTGTGGCTCCCAATGCACTGCTTAATAACAGCACTCTGGGGCCGGCCCAAGATAACTCACTTCTCGTGATGTCTGGCAACAAAACACTCCCCTGCCCGAAAGTGATTTGAGTGGACTTCGTCTGGGGGAGAAGTGCAATGACTCACACGTGCGCCGTGGCCTTGGGGATCCCTCAGCACTTAAGAGGAGGCAGTGGGCACTTCCCGAGTCTGAGGGGTACTGTCTCTGCTACACAGATAGTAGGGTGTCGGTGCGTCTCTAAAGAGGACACAGGAAAGAGAAAAGATGACCTTCCTGTCCCTGTGCCTTGGGAAGGCTGGGGGTGTTGGCAACATGCACGGTAGGTGGAAAGAGCAAGAATTCAGAGCCAGGGCCGTCACGTTCTTGCTATGTGCTCTCGAGCGAGTCGGTTTCTTTCTTTCTTTTTAATTTTTTTTTTCTTTGAGAGGTTTTTGCTATAGGACGCATGCACTCGTCAGAAAGAGACAGAGAGACAGAAAGCGAGAAATCACCCCCCAGGGGGGATGGCCACGCCGCAATCCCTTCTCCTCCATTCTCCTCTCGGGATCTTGGGCACGCACGCACACACACCCGGCGTGAGTTTAAGCCACCAGGTCCGGGACTCAAACCGCGGTCGACTACGTGGGAGTCCAGCGACATAGCCATTATGCCAACTGCTGGTCCCAAGTTGGATAACCTTTCTGAGCCTCAATTTCTTCTAACCTACTCAAGGGCATTGCTTCAGCAATTCGCTATGTTTTTCGTTTTGTTTTGTTTTGTTTTTAAGTTTGATATAGGGTACATATTAGTACATATTCTTAGTAGAGACGGAGAGAGAAAGGGAGAGTGAAAAAGCATCCCCCAGGGGGGATGACCACACCACAGTCCCTACATTTCGATTCTCTCAGAATTTTGGGCACGCGGGCTCACACACTGGCCATGTTTTTCAAGCCACCGGGTTTGGGAGGCAGACGCAGAGTCGGCCTGTGGTACCAGCTGCCTTAACCTCCGCACCATAAGCTGGCCCTGCCTCAGCAATTCTCACCTCTTTCTGTCAATGTTTTGGTTGACAGTAGATCATTTCCTTCCGCATGTAAATATGCTGTTATTTCCCTGTCTTTTCAAAACTCCCCTTGGTTGAACCTGCTTCTCCAGCCAAAGAACACGCCATTTCTTTACTCCCTTTTACAGCTAAACTGCTCAGAAGATTGCCTGCACCCACTCTCCAACTTCTCCCGGCCCTTCTCTCATGAATGCGTTCCCGCCGCGCTCACCGAAGCTCCTCCCGTCAAGATCGCCACCACTGGCCTGCCGGTTGCCGGGTCCACTGGGCAAGCCACCACCACGTCCTCTCGCCCCACCTCTCGACACTATTGCACAAAACCGACTGCTCGCTCCTCTTGGGCCCACTGCCCCCATAGGTTTTCAGGACGCCAGCTCTCCTGCTTTTTCTCCTCTGCTTCACTGGCCTCACTTATCTTGCTGGCTCCTCCTCTGGCCCCAGGAAGCTGGTGTGGCTCGGCCCCTGGGCCCCGACTCTCCTCCATCTACATTCTCAGCCAAGGAGACCTCAGCCACTTTCTCGGCTTTCAGTACCCCTGCCTGCAGAGGGCTCCGAATTCACATCTCACTTCAGTCCTCAGTCCCACATTCCGGACTCTACCCAGTACCCAACGGCCTCTCAGCATCCTCTCCTGGTTGTCTGACAGAACTCCCAGTAGGCCCATGTTCAAAACTGACTTCTAGGGGCTGGCAGGTGGTGTGGTGGTTAAGGTGCTGGACTCCCACATGGTTGACCACGGTTTGAGTCCCGGACCTGGTGGTTTGCTTTCTCGCTCTCTATCTGTCTCTCTGGTGAGCACATGCTCCCTTGAGCAAATTTTAAAATAATAATAGTAATAAATAAAATTAAATAAAATAATTTTAAAAAGCAATAACAAATTGACATCTGGTCTTCTCCTCCAACAAAACCTGCTGTGGGGCCAGACGGGGGCACAGAGGAAAGCCTGAGGCTCTGTGATGCTGACTCCCAAGGGAGAGCTCTGGACCAGTGTCCAGACCCTGGACTGGCTGAAGGGGTTGTAGCACCAAGCCCTGCTGAGGGTCCTGTCTCTCTTTCTCTCCTGCTCATGGAAATAAAAACCTGCTTGTTCTGTAGTCCCCTCACCCATGGAACGGGGAGGGGGTGTGGACCTCTCACCTAAGGCCATGCTCAAGAATAAATGACCCTGCAGCTGGAGAGGATCTAGCACGTTCCTTGCATGTAGTTGGTGCTGATACATGGCAACGGAGAGGATGCTTCAGGGGAAAATAGGCAGGGAAGTGGAGTGGAAACTGATGCAGAACGCTGTGCTGGGAGACAGCCTGGCTGCAGGTTCTGAGGGACGCAGTCCTAAGGACAGGAGCCGCCGTGCAGAGCTGGCCGGGGATGGTGGGAGTGGAGGAGGGGCCGAGGTCCAGCTAAAAGTCAAGCCTGAACTAAGGCCCTGGGCAGAAAGCGTGGGGATGTTTGCCTTCTTCAGATCTCAAAGCAAGAAGACACAGTAAAGGGGCCAGGTAGCAACACAGTGATAATACAACTGGACCCACGTGGGAAAGGTCTTGGGTTCGTGTCCCAGGACTTCCTTGAACACCCTGGTGAGCATGTGCCTATGATCCAGGCTTGCCGAGACTAGGAGTGGATGCCAACATGAAGACCCTGTTGGGGTCCCTCTCTCTTTCAAGAAAAATAAACTTAAAAAAAACAAACAAACAAACAAAAAAACTGGTCCAGCAGTGTCATTGTTACGTCACTGGACTTCCACGTAATCCACAGCAGTTTGAGTCCCAGACCCAGCAGCTTAAAACTCACGCCAGGCACGTGTGCGTGCATGCCCAAGATCCCAAGAGGAGAATGGAGGAGAAGGGATTGTGGCATAGCCATCCCCCCGGGGGGTGACTTCTCACTTTCTGTCTGTCTGTTTCTCTCTGTCTCTCTGATGAACACACTCGCCCTGTAGCAAAATATCTCTAAAAAAAAAAAAAAAAAAAAAAAAAAAAAAGAAGGTAAAGTATCTAGATTAACTACTTAAAAAGAGTTCTCAGGGGACTTCACCCAGACAGGCTCCAAGGGATGAAAGCCATCTTTCTCTTGCCAACCTAGCCCCCTAGAATCTTTCTTCGAAAGACTCAATCACTTGCTGCTAATGACATGGCACTTAGCACTTCCCTGTTCAGCTAGAGGCCAAAGCACTGAATAAGGCCTTGTCTCCCCCAGATACCCCAAGCTTCTCCAGGGCAGGGACATCCATGGAGCCATCTGCTCCAGAATGTAAGAGGCCCCCACATAGTTCAGATTGTTAAAGGGAATGCAGAGGTGCTTCTGCTCCAGGCAGGAGTACAGGAAATCTCTAAATACGTTTCCATTTCCTTCAGACCTTCACTCAAATATTATTTTTTTAGTGAGGTCTTCCCTAGCCTCCCATCTAAAATATTGATTCTGGCGCCAGCAGGTGGCATGGTGGTTCAGGTTGCTGGATTCCAACATGATCGATTGCAGTTTGAGTCCCAGGCCTGGTGGCTTACTTTCTCACTTTCCTTCTCCCTCTCTTTATTACTCTGTCCCACTCTGGTCAAATTAAATTAAATAAATGAATAAAATTCAATACAATAATTATTTAAATAAATAAAGTATTGATTCTACACACTGCTACCACCACCAACACACACACAGTGCCTCTCCCGGCCTTGCCCCATCTCAGCAGTGGTCACTGTCCTGTCATATCCAGTCATCTGTCAGTACCCACAGGAGATTGCTTCCGGGAGTCCTCTCCCCTTACCAAAATCCACAGATGCCCAAGTCGCTTATATCAGATGGCACCATGTTCGACCTACACACATCCTCCTGTATACTTAAATCATCTCTAATTACTCATGATACCTAATACAATGTAAATGCTAGGGAAATACTTGATGTACTATATTGTTCAGGGAGTACTGACAAGAAGAAAAAGTCTGCAATATTCAGAACCAACGCGACCATCGTAGGGCTGAGCACGAAGCACATGTCCGCGACAACATAACCTTTTCTATCTACGGCTGGTTGAACCGGTGGATACTTAAGGCCCACGATATGTCATTTATGTCCTGTTGTCTTCTCCACTAGAAGAAAATTCAAATAAGCCAAGGATTTTCCCCTGTTTTGTTCACTACTGTATCTCCAACTCTTAGAATAACACCAGGATGAGGCCAACAAGTGGCGTGGTGGTGAAGATGCTGGATTCCCACAGGGCCAACTTAAACTATGGTTCAAGTCCCAAACCTGGCAGCTTGAAAAAAGTCATAACGAATAAATAGATCAATAAATAAGCTTCTTTGTTTTGAAAGTGTTTGGAGGGGCTGGATATTGGTACAGCAATAAATGCAATGCTCTGCAAGGCTGGGGTTCTGGGTTTGTGTCTGGAGACCTCCCTGAATGCTCCAGGTACCCAGTTATATATATATGTCCCAAACTCTGAGACTGGCTCAGGCTAGGGGTGAATTGCAGCATCAGGACCCTCTTGGGGGCTGCTGTCTGTTTCTTGCTCACAGAAGAAAAAAAATTTTTTTTGAGTTTTTTTTTTAGAGTTTTGTTTTTGTTTTTGTTTTTGCTATAGGGCACAAAAACAAACGAACAAACAAACAAAAACAGAAAAAGACAGACATTCTCCCCCAGAGGGGATGGCCATGCCACACTCCCTTCTGTTCTCAGATTTTAGGCACACACACACACACACACACACACCCAGCATGAGTGTCAACCCATCGGGTTGGGGACTTGAACTGCAGGCAAACATATGGAAATCCAGCACCTTAACCACTGAGCAACTTGTTGGCCCCCAAACAAAAAAACTTTAAATACACACACACATAAAGAATAATGCCTGAAACAGCTTGTGGGTTTCTCTGGGGAGACAAATACGTTTTTTGGAATGAACAAACTATAACCACCCTCGTTTAAGTACTTGTCCCGAGTTCGACACGTTCCTGAACATTGTTTAATTTCTCAGCTCATTTACTCACATCACCGCCCTGCCCTGCGATGGAGCGTAATTTACACTTCCTAGGTGAGGACTCTGTGTCTCTGGGAGGTTAAATCACTTGCCCCAGGTCACATTCTTTATATATGGCGGGGAGGCAGAGCTCTGGCTCCGAAGGCAGCCATTACTGTACAAGACACGCTGCCTTCAGGAGAGAAGGTGGAGAGAGAAAGGAAGGGACAACAGGGCGGGCACGGGGAGCAGTGAGGGCGTGCTGCTCCGAGAGGCCAGATCCCACATGGCTCCTATGCTTCGATTCCCGACCTGGCCAGCCTGAAACGCACCAGGAACACACATAAATGCCCAAGAGCTGACAGGCTGGAGGGCTGCAGGAGGGAGAGTGTGGCATGACCAGACCTGCAGAGCGTGCTCGTCTCTCTCATCAACACCCACTCTATCGTGAATAAAGACAGTAATTTTTGTTAAGGTTTTTGCCATAGGGTGTGTGTGCTCACTGGAAAGAAACAGAGTCAGTGAGAGGGAAAGTGAGAAATCACCCCCCAGGAGGAATGGCCACACGGCAACACCTTCTCTTCTTGGCATCTTGGGTACTCACACACCTGCTCCCAGCATGAGTGTCAAGCCCCAGGTCCGGGACTCGCACTACGGTCAACCGTGTGAGAGTCCAGCACCTTAGCCACCGTACTACCTGCTGGCCCTGAAAATAAATGATTTTTAAAAAGAAGAGATGACAGAAGACTCATGGGAAAAACTGTCTAGCACTGAAGACCACACGTCCAGCGGGACATCTGTGATCACAGATGACCTGAGTCTACGCCGTCAGAGGCAGGAGCCACCAGGCTATGGAGTATCTGAAATGTGACCAGCACAGCAAGGAACTGAAGCTGCAATTGGCTTTCTTTCTTTCTTTTTTGCTATTGAGTGTGTGTGCCCACCCGAGGGAGACAGGTTGGGTGGGAAGTCTCTCCCGGGGGGAAGATGGCCACACCACAGTCCCTTCTCCTCCATTCTCCTCTTGGAATTTTGGCTACACATGCACACACACCTGGCATGGCTTTAAGTTACCAGAACCAGGATTCGAACCTCAGAGATGACCATGTAGAATCCAGCCACCTTAACCACCATGCCATCTGCTGGTCCAGTTGGACTTAATTGTAATTAATTTAAACTTAAGTAGTTACACCTGGCCAGTGGCTTCCATTATTAAAGAGAACAGCTTTTTTTCTTTTCTTTTCTTCTTTAAGACGTCGGTTAGATTTGGTGACCAAGAATGCTCTCAGTTGCTCATGGCATGCAGGCCTGGTAGGACAGGGGACGGGGCGAGTGAGCCCCAAAGGTACACTGTGTAATCCTTATGAGCGCCCAGTGAGGGAAGGGAGTACCGGTTGGGTAGTCCTTATCGGAAATGCTTGGGACCAGAGGGCCTCAGGTGTCAGGTTTCCTCAGAGCTCAGAGTATTTGGACACACATAATTTAGGGACAGAACCCAGGTCTACACATGAGATTCACTTACGCTTCATATGCCCCTTATCTACCATATTGTAGTATGGCAGCACTGTGGCTCGTCCCATGAGGTCACGTGTGGAATTGTCCACTTGTGACATCACGTCGGCATCCAAAAAGCTTCTGATTTCTGGGGTAGCATCCCCTTTGGGCCGTGCAAGAGGGTCCCAGGTTCTTTTTTTTGGAGAGGCTTTTTGTTATAGGGTGTGTTTGCTCGCCAGAAAGACAGAGAGACAGAGAGCAAGAAATCACCCCCCAGGGGGGTGGCCACACCGCAATCC